AACAGCATATTTTGAACCAGATATCACAATGTGATTATCGAGTGTATTAGTACACGCTATTCTATAGTTCATCCAAAGTGTATATCAATATATTCTAATATTTCATTTCATAAAGTTGCTTCTAAAAAAACTTTTTTTTTAGAGCTTGTATTATTATTTTGTACTGGTTGCCATGATGAGTCAATTATTGAACACTGTTGATGTGCATTAGCAGCATTATAATGAGATGAATTACCATTAATTGTGAAGAAAATTTTTGTTCTATTGCTAGTCACATGTGCCACTTGTATAACTGAATCTCAACATCTTTCCAAATAGCCATACTGCTACTAATTTGCGAAAAATCCTTGTCAGAAAGAATTGCTTTTACCTCCTTAAATCCATTTTCTTTTAAAAATTTAAACTATGCAGTTATTGCTACACACATATCCTGTCCTTTTCCAGCTTCAATAAAACAATATGAAATTGAAAACTCTGTTCCATCTATAATCGCCATTAATGCATAAAGCTCGTATTTCAATTTGTTCGTATTATAAGTAGCATCGACCATAACTGTATTAAATGCATCCCTTAGTAATTTGTTAAAAAACCCTGTTAAGAAACTAAATACATGCATCGGCTTATCCAAATTAAGTATGATTTTATAATCTTTCTCACTTAAAAATAACTTTACAGATTCATATTGATCATCATGCCGTCTATAGAATGCTGATGTTTCTTGTACTCACCAAAAATATACCTAATCTACTGTTAGATTTTCGAACCTATCAAGCTTTTTTGTAATAATTTCTTGATAAAGTTTTGATGCTCTAAGTATTAGATGTTCATGAATATATTGCTTAACTTGTTCTGTTACACCAATAAATTGTGGCCGCTGATGGAGCTGCTTATAGTTAAGCTTAATGTTTGCATATTGATTTATTAAATCAATGAAAATTGAAAGAAGCCCTTCACATTCGTATCTGGTTAAATATGTTCCAGTATTTCGTTGCTTGGAAATATTATTATGCTTTTTATATCTTGAAACAAGTTCTATACAACAATTACACCAGTAATAAAATGACATTATTTTTGTTTTTTGTGACATGGATTTAGTACGGTATA